AAAATGACACCGACCTTGGCTGTGGAGGATGGTCCTTCGCTGGACAACAAACGGGCTGAATCCGCTGGGAGCCGGCTTCTTCTACAAAAAAAATAAAAATAAATAAATCATTTTTTGGGGGGAAACGCTTCTCTTTGCAGGAGCCGATGTCATCATCACCTACTATGCGCCTCAGCTTCTGCGGTGGCTGAAAGAAGACCGGGCATGATCAGGGTCCCTGGCTCGGCTGCCGAGAAGGAAGCATGAAACTGCTGGAATAACTGGGTGGCCAAAGGCGGGAAACTGGATTTTTTTTGGGTTTTTTTCCGTTTCTCTTTTGAGAATCTCGCGTATTATAAATCTAAAAGAAATTTGGCTGCTCCAAGCAATTTCGTAACAAGATTCCCAGTCCCCGCCTGATACGCTTTCTTTAAAAACAAAACACTTGGCTTTTCAAACGCTGCCACAATGTTGTTATTCCTTGACGGGGAGGTTTGTTTGTGCTGGTTAGTTGCCGAATATCCAGAGAGGGGGTGCTTGCGTTGGTGGAAGGACCCGAAAAGAGACGGGACCTGCCCTTTCCAGGGGAAAAAAAAGCGGTGGCTGCATCCTACGTCCCCCTGCCGTTGAGTCTCCATCCCAGGTCCCGGTGAAAGGCTAAACCTGCAGTAAAGTTGACTCTCAGAGGGAGGCTGCAGGCAAGCTTTCAAGAGTGCTCGCACAGTGCACCCTGGTGCATGGAGCCATACACAAAGGGCCCGGCGCAGGGCTTGCGATCTCGTGTGGGAAAAGGTGGAAGAGGAAATCCGATCGGTTTGGCAGCCCTGGGCTGCTTCCTTGCCTTCCCTTCAGTCTGCCTCTGTTTGCCAACCAACCGGTTTGGCTGCCTATCTAGTCCAGGAATGAATCTTGAGAAGGAGATAAAGGGATTTTAGCAGGCTGGATTTCTTCTAAGGGAGGAAACGTCCACTTTAACCAATCTTAACCCAAAGTTAATTCAACAAAACGTACGTAACTCCCCGCTCGTAAAGAGACTGCAGCATCAACGGCCCAGGGGTGTCTTGTCTTGGGGTTGGGGCAAGGCCTGCAAATGTAGCCAATATGGAATGACAGCCTGATCCGAAACTTCTCTGGGGAACCTAGGGGATTCTGACAGGCACCCAACACTTCCACAAGATTCCTGCTAGCCGGACGTGAAACGTCAACTGCCACAATGCGATGGAAGAGCTTTGAGTTTAGACTTAATATACAGTCACGATTGATTCAGGAAGGAGCCCTTGATATTCCTTTACAAGTTTACGTGCAATCTTTCTGTTCCAGTTCTTCTCCAAGCAACCCAACCTGTTCTCCTTTGCTAGCAATATGGGAAGACTGTTGTTTTCATCAGCCATACAGTGAGAATCTGAGTCCTGCGGACAAAGAAGGAATAGCAACCACAAAAAGAAACTCTTTTTGTGAGATTTTAAGGTTGTTATTCTGTAACCTTATTATTAAACCCCTTATTATTAACATCAATAGGATAACAGGAGTCCCAGGGGCTGTAACACAGGCACAGAATGAATCCTTCAAAAGACTTAAACTGAGTTAACAAGCTCTAACATTGATGGCCTCAATGTTAATGGTAAGGGGCAGAAAAGAGTGCCATCGTACTGCTAAAGCAGGTTATAGCAGCCACCCAAGAAACCTTTGTAATGGCATTTTTAAGGTTTATTTATTATCAAACCCTCGTTATTTATAGGCCATCCTAGGCCTTCTGAACTTGGTTCATGGTGTTTGAAGCAGGATTTCTTTTCCTGTCGCTGTGTTGCAGCGAATGGGCCTCCAGTCCCCGTGGTAATGTTGGAAGAATTATCCTTCTGGGTTCAGTTCCAAGACACTGGAAACCTGGAGGCTGTTTGGAAAGATGGTTTAATGGTGGACAAGACCACATGGCTTGGGGCTCCAAAGTGAAAAGGACGACCACGTGCTTCAAGAAGTTGGGTGAAGGAAAGGAAAGGAAAAGAAAAAAGGCTGAGATGCTCAGAGTCCCTTATATATTCCCCGTTCCTGTGCAGGAAGTGTATCCCTTTGGCTGTCAGACTTCCAGAGGCGGGCGGGGGTCTTAACTAACTTTGTGGGCTTTGTCTGGACCACATGGCTTCACCTGGGTGCTGGCTGATCTTCCAAGGCCATGTGGTGAGATGAGTAGAGGGTTTTGTTATGTAGAATACTCTGTCCCAGGCCTTAATGGCCCACCCACGAACAAAGGTAGGGATGAGTTTCTGCTTCTGAGTTTCTACTTCTCTTTTTTGGGGGAAATATTCTGCCTTTTTAGTATTTCCTAGGATATTTCATTTTCCTAGGAGAGGGGTGGGTTTTCACTTCCAACAGTAATAAGGCGTTAATAATAAAGATACAGGACGATAACCTTCAAATCCCATTAAAAGGGTTTGTTTCTTTCGGCGGCTGCAATTCCTGCTTTGGCCACAGGAGGGCAGAGTTTTCTGTCCCATAGCGTTAGCAGCGAGGCGGCCTTTTTGATGGCCTCAATTCGATCGCTAAGGGACACAAAACTCTGCCGCCTTGTGGACAAAGCAGGAATTGCAGGCACAGAAAGGAAGAAACCTTTTTTTTCCACGGTATTTTAAGGTGATTCTTCTGCACCTATTGAAGCTATATTAAGCCCTTTTAGCTCGGTTTAAAGCTTTTTGGAACAGGAATCCTCCTTTTGTGCCTGTTGGGCAGCCCCTGGGTGGGCAGAAAACAGCGCCATCCTCTGTTCAAAGCAGGTAAACGGGCACAAAAAGAAATCCCTTCCCAGCATGGCCGACTTCCTTTTCCCTCCTTCTCAGTAACCCTCCCAACTTCCTTCCGTAGCGACCTTCTCGGCCTGGTGAACTTCCGGTCCGTCCCCCGCGCCCGTCCCCCGATGCCTGAAAAGAACGACGGCCGACTTCCTGTCCATCCTTTTTAGTCTTCCCTCCCACCC